ATATGAACATATTGGCATTTTAAAGGTAACTCTTGTAACAGTGTGTAGGATGTGTCATCAGGACAATAATAGACACTGGGAGATCGGGAACTAAGCTGTTGTGTTAATTCCAGCAAGAGTATCCAGTCACCTAATGTAATAAAGAAGAAAAAAGGAAATACATGGATATAGAAAATAGGTTTTAATAAGACTAAGTGAAAATTTCAAAATATTTTCCACAGTGATGACTAAAAGGATGGGTCTATACTAATATGTTATTGTTATAATGGTTATGGAGAAACATATGTGTAGCAGGGAGATGGATATTAAATTTCAGAAAATTGTGATAATTGTAGTACATTCAAATAAACACTGTCACGTCTAGGTTTGCTTATGAAATAGTCCGTGCTAGGGATGATGTTTAAAATTACACTAGTGAAATATATTTTTATGACAAATATAGCAACTTTGGTATGTAAACTACTCACCCAAATGAAAAGAAAAAACTAAAAGTCACAAAAACATTATGCAGACCATTCATGTAAAAAGTACAAATTGGCAGAAAAGAATATGTGGGCAAATAGTTATGTATCACTTATATGTCATGCCTACTACCAAATATTCTACTATTAAGAGTCTGACTATTTGCTACCTCACTTAGATGAAATCATCCAGTCCTTCCATAATGTTTATTTTACCTATTCTCATATTCTTTTTTTTTTTTTTCTTTTTTGCCAGGGATCAAACTCAGGCCCTAATGGTGATAATGCTGAGACTTAACCCCTATGCCACCAGGGAGGCCCCTCACTTAGCCTGATATTATTCAGGGAGGTCTTTTAAACAAGTTGTCTGGGGAAAATTATAAGAAGAAAATGTAACCATAGAGAAAACCATTGACAGGTGAAAAAATTTAACTGGTGAGAAGGAAGCAGCTCACACAGAAGTGAGAATGAATATTCAGGAAAAAGGAAAGACACATTTTTAATGAAATTTTGTTGATTTTCCATTTGTTTATAAAACTATATAACTTAAGGAGTACTGCTTCACACCCACACATGTTCATGTTCATGTTTCATCCACCTACCTCCAAAGTCCTGGTGCCACTACTGTGTCACATTGCACCCTCCACCCCCTCCTCCTACTCTTGCCTCTGGTAACCACCATATTTCTTTACCATCTAGGCAAGTCTAGATTTCTGGCAGTGGAAAAACTGTCTCTAAGAAAATGGTTGAAACAGTTTGTTAAAATTTTCTGTCATTTCCTACCTATAAGAGGTATTTTGGGGCATATCTGGCTGTTTTTAGGTAATAACAAGTGAGAATGTTCCCAACCATGTCTGATAACTGTCTGGGTTCCAAGGCAAGGAGATTTGGTCCAAAATGCTTCTTTAGCTTTTAAAGATGGAAGTGCATCTTCATTTTAAGTAAGAATGGAAAGCTATGATAAGACATAGTAGTACTGGGGGTTGGACAATAGGAAATGGTAGGTAAACAGGAACATGCATGTGAAATAAGCTCCGTATTTTTTTTAAAGATTATTTTTACACAAGAACTGGGGTACAGGCCAGAGGCCCAGGAGTGTGAGAGGATTCACCAGAGACAGAGTGGGGAGCAGAACAGGCAGAAGGATGGAAAGCACTGCTGAGGGGAGCAGCAGGCACTACAGGAGAGGTCTGCTACGCCATGTGAGAATCTCTCTGGCCAGCCAGGAATCGACCCGCACTGCAGAGGCTGCGGACAGCTTCACAGTGCTGCGCCACCAGGGAGGCCCAAGCTCAATATTTTAATAAAGTAAAAAAATGAATTGTATAGATGAGATCATTTTGATACGGAAAAAAAGAATAAACTCTTAGATCAAATGAATACCTTTTTTTCCATTTAGGTTTTTGACAAGAAGTGGTGACATTCATTAGTAGCCTTACATTTACTATCTTGAATTATCTCAGGATCAGTAGGAGATAACAGATAAGCAAACTGCAAATATGGGCCAATAAATCACTGGAGTTGCACTGTGTATGTGGCCGATTGTGTTTAAACAGGAGACACAAACTTCTAAGACACTTAATTAGATCTGAGACAAATGTTAAAAAACAGGAGTGATGGAAAAATGGCATCCATAGTTGTGAAATATAATTTTACTTGAAAGAGTGGCTTCTCCAGAGTTAAGGGCAAATTGTACATGAATGAAAGAAAATTATATAGCAGATGCTAATATAATATCAATATACTTTAACAATATTCATTAAAATAAGCAGAGACATAATTGGGAAAGTGAAAACCCAATTAACCTGCTTAACCTGCTTATTTAGATTATAGGTTGCCAGCATACCTTGCATATAATTCTAGTTATCATGATGATATTTGGTGAATTCAAATGAATTTAAGACAAATTAAAAAGTAAAATATGTAATTCTGAAGGTAAAAATAAGGTAATATTAGATTAAAGGAGACTAAATTCCAAGGTTAATATCTAGTGCTCAAAAACATGTTTTACCACATGCAGCAGAAAATATTTTAATTTGTATTAAGAAAGCATTTTTTTATATTAGAAGTAGGAAAAGGTCATATACTATGAATTCAGAGACCTGACAGCATGTATTATACCAACCCTAATATATTTCGTTTGCAAACCAAAAGTAATACAAATATGGAAAAAGCATTAAAGGGTTTTCTGAAAGCATGAGTGGTAAAAAGAAGCAGGACTTGGGAGAGCAGCGATTTGGACCCTTTTCCTTTTAAAAGACAAGTGAGTATCACTTTATTCTGAGAAATTGAGAAACAATTTTAATGATAATTGAAAACATTCTCTGAGGGTGTGGGTGTGGGTAAATCTTTATATTTTGTAAATATTTTAACAGATTGTAATTTCCATTTAAATTCAATACTCAGTCCATTTCAGGTTCCCATATGACTGCAGCTGCACCTTTTGGCATCAATGACTAGCTGCTATGGTCAAGGGCAATATGAAAACTGGCAATTTATTCTGCTCAGAATCCACTTAATATTTCCTAAAGAGAAATGGTATGCACTTAACATGATATAGAAAGCTGAGCAACACACACAATAAAACAAAAATTATGACTTGGGAGACAGCAGAAAATTGTTAGAAGATCATCTCTCCCTGTTATTACTGGTAATTCATCATTACCCATCTATTTGTTGAAAACATATAAGACACCTTGAATTTCCTTCCACTTACCAATTTTGCAAGTATTTTTATTTAAAATTGCAACTAAATTTTTGCCAAAATTATATGCCACAAGAACATATAATTTATATAAAAAAATTTATAATATTTTCTTTCCTTTAACTTTTTATCAGCAACATGCAATCTCAGCTAGTATCATGCAAGAGAAAACAGTTGTAAAACTTCATATAAAAAACATTTTATGTGCATTTTACCCGGAACTAAGGTAATTTTAAGGAAACTGAATTGATCCCTAAAACACATTTACATTATTAATAGTTGCATGTTAAATTCAAAAGTAAATTTTTAAAACACATTTCCTTTTATTTATAAATATTAAATATTTCAAGTTCTTATTAGCTGCCATAAGTGAAGATGCTGTAAAATGCAAGCAGTACCAAAAGATTACTTGATGGTGTTTTTTCTTTTCACTCAAATATCTAAATGCTAAAAATAATTAATATTTTGATAGCTAAAAAGTAATCCTTTTGATACCTATGAACTAATGTTATTTGTAGTTGGTAGGTCAACTTATTGCAGGACAACCCCCATAAGAAATGGGTTGCCTGAATGTGGGTCCTCACCCATGCACTTAAAACGGACTTATAATAAAACTAAATTGCAGGCACACACAAAAAAGGTAATAAAGGACTTATTTAGAAAAGAAGGGGAAATTAAGAAATGAATAACTCAAGGAGAAAGTGAAGGAGATAAATAGGTAAATGCGTCCTACCAGTTCTGCTGAGTGGGAATACCAGTAGCAGGCACACAGCCGGCGAAAAGCCGAGAGAACACCGAGGCCCAGTGTCTGGCTATAAACCAACCCTGGGGGCCTAATACCACCCTCAGTTCCCAGCAAGCCTCCTTTCCGTGGTGATGACATTATGGGATTTGTAGTCCTTGGTGTCTTGGAGCTCTTTGGTCTGGAGTGGGTGTGGAGTCCATAAAACCTGTGTTTTTGGAGTTTGTTTAGGGCATCCTTCCCCCAACAAACAGTGACAAATATTCTACTCTCCTAATTTTTAAAATGTTGACATTCATGTAAAAATAAAACTCCTTGGCATACAAGCGTAACTCGATTATAAATCTCTCTGCACTGGCACTGAAAATTTTCACAAAGAACATGAGTCTTCATGTGGATTAGGTTACTTTTTTTCTTCAGACAGCAGTTAGGCTCTCTTAAAATTATTCATTTTTCTACAATACTGAACTCAATTAACCTATCAAATAATATACACAGAATTTATTGGAAAGTAAATTTCCCTCTTGCATGCAAGGCTCCTTGAGCACCTGTTATCTTTTTATAATTTCCTCTGTAGATAAATTATGTAATTTGTAACCCCCCCAAAAATAAATCTAGTAAATATTTCAGAAAATACCATGGTGTACGATGCAACCTCTCTCTTTGTAACATAAACCATTTGCCACATGTACTCTTCTCTGCACATAAAGGTTTAAAGCAGTATGTAAGCCACAGTCTGTAACAGGGGGCTGATGCCAAAGACTAACAGGTGATCCCCCCTGGATGGAGCACACCAGGCAGAAAACAAACAAAGTATTGGTGCAGCTGGAAACTGATAAGCAATACAATGGGCTGCTCTGCAGCCCCGGGATTCAGCTTCCGGGATTCCAGCGTTTTCAGATCTTCAGCGATTCCTGGTCAGCCATTTCTGCCCGCGCAGCGCCATCTTCCAGAAGGCTGCGGGGGGCCTTTAAAGGACTTGGAGAGGCTTCCAGCGGCCACCTTCAAAGAAGAAAATTTCGGAGGCTTTGCAGGTCGCAGAGCAACTGAAACTGTTCCCAGTTTTGCTGCTGTTACAAACTGGCTGAGAAGGCGAAGACCCGGAGCGGGCGCCTCGCTGAGCTGTGAGTGTGGCCGTTTGTCACTGGGCTGCTGCGCGGCTGTGGCTTTCAGTGTGTCAGTGCCGGGGTGTGGCGGCAGCCCCAGGAGCATCTCCTGTCATGTCTCTTAAAAATACATTTGAGTGCTGCCCTGGTGGTGCAGTGGGTTGAGCGCAGTGCTGGGAAGCTGTCCGCAGCCTCTGCAGCCCGGGTTCATCCCGCGGGCTGGGGAGATTCCCACATGGCGCGGCAGACCTCTCCTGTCTGACCCGCGACTCCCCTCAGCAGTGTATTTTGTCAGTCTGCCTGTTCTGCTCCCCGCTCTGTCTGTCTCTGGTGAATCTTCTCACCTTCCCAGGCCGCTGGCCTGTACCCCAGCTATTGTATAAATAAAAATTAAATCTTTAAAAAAAAATACATCTGAGTTGGACCCTGGCCTATATATAGTCTGGCTGCCACGTGCTCCAGGCCCTCCGTGGCAGGAAGATACCATGTTAGGAGTCTTCATGGTTAAGAATTGAAAACTCTGGACAGTGCTTCAGGTGAGGTAAACAGCTGTTTGTGGACTCGGTAACTCTTTGTTTTCCCCTTGTTAGTTAAATGAATTCCATTATTTTTTGTCCTCTGACCTCAGTAGTTTTGCAATTGTGTGTGCGGGTGAAGAGCTCAGATGGCGGCCAGCAAACTATGTGGGCCTGTCCTTGGCCAGTTTCCTGCCCCTGCAGCCCTGTAGCAATTTTTTAAGATTCATCCAAAACTGAATGTTTCCAACTAGATTATGGCCTAAAATAGTACTCTGAACTATATAAGGGAATGACAAAAATTTTCTATCTTCTATACTCATAAGATATTAAAGTGGTTCCTTTAGAAATAAAAATAAGCTAAACAAGTATTGATACCAGTTATTAATGATAAATACTAAAATAGTCCCTCCATATTTTTTTCAATTTCATTAGACAACTAAAATTTTACAATTGAATTAGTAAATCTGAACTATTTAGAAAGAGGAGGAAAGGGAGCAAGAAGAGGAGTAGATATTGTTCCTTCAGCTGTTGTGATAGTGACTTTAAAAATTATAATATATATGATGGTAAGGACTAGATAGATTCATTTATTCAATTGTTTTTTATTTTAAATGATGTATTAGAAATCACGTTACCAACAAGAGATCACAATGAAAATGTTACTGTGAAATGTATTTTCAAAGTGGAAAATGAAAAAATAAAATATCAACAACAGATTAAAAACTAATAATCCATAAATAAAATAAATAAAATAGCAATACTAAAACTTTACAGAGTAAAATATTCTAAAATTAAATTTCAAAAAGTTTCAATGACAGAATTATAATACATTGCTTTATTGTATGAAAGATAGAAAATGAGAAAAATAAATATTATATAATCTTAAATATGTATCTTGTGCTTCAGTGTGTGTTGATATTGGAAAGAGCTACACAAAAATAAAGGAACTCTTTTCTAAGAGCATTGGTATTGAGGAAAATGAGGGGAGTTTTTGTGTACTTAGCATTATTTAAAAGGAAAAGGGAACACCATATGTGTGTCTTAACAGACAAAAATATCAAATAACTTGAAATAAGTGTTCTCTAAAAGAAGTGGTATCTCCCTTATTCTGCTTAGGTTATGTATGTAAACTTTGACCTTACAATCATTTTATTTTATTTTTCCAGAATCCGCACTTGACTGGCAATATTTTGCTTGATATTGGGCCAAGATAAGTTGGTCCAAGATAAGTTATGGAAGGCACTGAGGATCTAAGGTAAGTTTTAATCTGTACTCTTGAGAGAGGGAGAGAGAGAAATAGAGACAAGTAGAGAACTTACTCTATTCATCTATAGTGGGTAAAAGTTTAGTAGGTATTACATTCAAGCAGCTATTTCAGACCAATAATAAAATAATTGTTTTGACTATTTGTATTTTCACAAAATTCCTGTTATAAATGAGGGAACTTCCTAAAGACCAGAAGCTCTTCATAAATCATAGCCTGGAATAAATATCCAAACTTTAGAGATTACCCACTAAAGTGGTAATGAAAACTATGTATTTTAAAACAAGATAATTAGAAATTTGTATTTAGTAAAATATCTCTAATTTTAGAATGTTTAACCCTCAAGGTTCTTAGTGGAACTGTGACTATATTCACTAATATATATGGGCCCTTACTCAGATACATGTTGACAATGATATACTGCAATCTCATCAATATTTACTTATTTGTTTCCTATTCACTTGAATAATCGGCCCCCTAAGTGAAAATTAGAACTGAATTCTTGGGACTTAATATGCAAAATAATAAATTTGAAGTGGGTGATAAATCCAATCCTAACCTTGATTACACCCTTTTAAGTCATGTTTACTAGAGATAAATTTCACATTCCCTAACCTTGCCCTATATAAAATATCCTTTTTTCTTTTTAATTTTAACAAATGCATGCAGTCATGTAAAGGCCAACATAATGAAGATACAAAAACCTTCCCAGAACAGCAAATAGTTTCCTTAAGCACCTCTGCAGTCCTTGCTTCAGGCAAACACTGACCTAGAGTCTGTTTTTTTTTTCAATTTTGCTTTAGGTAGATTACCATATAAATGGCATCACACTTTGTATAGCCTTTTGAACTTAGCTTCTATCTCAGCAGAGTATTTGAGATGAATCAACACTGTATTGACAATTATGTTTTATTGCTGCATGTTATTTCAGTATGTGAGTATACCTCCTTTTCTATATCCAATCTTCAGTTGAAGGACATTTGGGTTGTCTCCATTTTCTGTTGATTATAAATATAATGTGCAAAGTCTATGTATATATTTATGTGAAGTTATGTTTTATTTATCTTGGGAAAATACATGTTAGATTAGTGGGCCATGTCCTAAATATGTGTTCAATATGAAACTTCTTTTAATAGAGTATTGTCTGTCAGCTTTACCACTCAGAACCTTATTTAAATGATGTTGGGAGGCTAGACAGTAGCATGTGTAATTGACAATCTACAGATTATTTTTCTATAGAACCCATGAGACCAAGTATTCTCCCACCATTGCCTTTTCAAGTAAAATTTTGAAGGTCGTGTAGGTCAGTGGGAACAGGAAAGAATGGAGAAAGGGGTTATTGTCATGAACATATTCTCTCTGTTTCTTTTGTTGTGTTGCTCCCCAATAAACCCTGTCTGTGGCTTTATTAGCAGATTGCCCCTTTTTTGATGTCTTCAGTATGAAGGTCTCAGTTGTTCTGAATCTACTCTAACACTTAACATTGTTAGATATTGTTTTATTTTATTGCCATTCTATCAGATGCATATGGTGTATCATAGTGATTTTGACTTGTTTTCCCTGAATACTACTGATATAATAAACAGTCATCATATCTTCAAGGTTAAGGAGGAATTTCCTAGTTTATACTATAGCAAAATCAGTATTCTATTAGCAATAAAAGAAGGGTAAATTAGATGATGGGTGTGATAATCTCATTATGTCATTCTACTATTTTAGTTCTCAATTCCAAAGCTAAATATAATTTAAAAATTTATCTAAAATCCAGATACTTCCTCAGGCTTATCAGCTATCACCCTGATTTAGCCTGCTGTGATCTCTTGCCTGTATTATTAAAATAGTATCCAGACAGTACCCTTCCTGACATACTTGAACCCTGCGACAGCCTACATTTCCACAGCTTGAATGAGTCTTTGCATCTTAAATTAAGTGATGAATACTGCTTAATCCTTCTAACAGCTTTCCACCTTACCCAAAGAGAAAATAAAATTTTTAAAATTAACACAAGTCCACAGTGAAACACAATTTCTGATACTATTTAGCATTGAAGATAATTTACTGTGAGTACTTTGTATATAATAGTTTGGAAAGAGGGGCCTTTGAACAGGAAAACACAATCAGGAATAAGTAGAGTAATATCAACATAAGAGAATGAGAATCTATTTTAGAAAGCTATCAATAGAGACATGTGTGAGACAAGCATCAGTGATAGAATTTATATAAAATGGTTTTAAATTTAAAAATCAATTATTAATGTATTGAAATCTTCAGTTATTTTATAAGCAGTTATTTTTCATTTATTATTTCTCCAGCATGTACTAGGATCTGAAGCTAAAATGAGAGCTAGCCAGAGTGTCTGTTCTCTGTTAGCTCGTGGTCTAATAAAAGTGAGTTGAATAGACAGTGATACATGCTGAAATATTGATGTCAGCTGCACATCTCTAATAGCATAGGGACTCAAGAAATAAAGGAGAGAAAAAACAATATCCAAGTTGAATCTGGGGTAATATTAAGTCTGATGAAATGGAATGAATTTCCATTTCAGTCTAGAAATTCACAAGATGTATCTAAAAGCATGGAGAAAAATCAAGCCTGAGCCTCTGATTTAACTGAAAGAATGTTGTTACTTATAGATTTAGGAAAACTGCAGGGATAATGTATATGTTTACTTCTGAAATTGTATGTAAGTCAAGAGGAGTTACTGCTCTAAGGAAATTTTACATAGAAATATAAATAGAGGGGGTCAGAAGCCATAAAGCAAAAAAATTGAAAACAAAGAGAAAATAAGAAAATAAATAAAATATTAATGTTTTATATGTTTGTATGGTATATCCATATGTACATTCATTCATAACATAATTTTATTGATTGCTATCTGGCCTCTAATTATATTGATATCATTTCAAATAAATGCATCCAAATATAAAATTTTTAATTGATTGAAAGGCAATTCAAAGTAAGACTGATTTGCCTTTGCAATTTTTTTGACTGGAGAAAATATTGTGATTAAAAAAAAATAAATTGGACCTCCCCTGGTGACACAGTGGTTGAGCTCTGGGCTGCGAAGCTGCCCGCAGCCTTGCAGCACTAATTCGATCCACGGCCACTGGCAAGGTTCCCATATGGTGCGCAGACCTCTCTTGCCCTGACTGCTGCTCCCCTCAGCAGTGTATTTCATCAGTCTGCCTGTTCTGTTCCCTGCTCTGGCTCTGGTGAATTCTCTCACCCTCCCATGCTTCTGACTGTACCCAGTGATTGTATAAATAAATAAATAAATCTTAAAAAATAAATAAATAAAAATACTTAAAAAAAACTTAAATCTATGACCAATGAGAACTTCTCAGATTAAAGATTGAAATTCAAAATTTATTATCATATACTGAATATATGAAAATTCAAATACAGAAAGCCATGAAAAAATAGACAATTACAATGGAAACTTTAATGATTACATAGCTTCTCTCTAGTGATGAATTTGACAGTTATTGCATAGCTGAAAGATTTTAAATATATTATCTAAATTGCTATATACCTCTATAAATTTCCTCTTATTTCATACAGATAACTGCTTTTATTTCTTATTTGAAATTTCAAGTACCTATTTTTCTTCTGGTATATATTCAAATTTCATGGTTAGCTTTCTATACTCTGGAGAATATACTTTACTACACTGCTGGCACATCGTATTCTAGATTCCAAATCTAGAGCAATCGTTCTTTAATGGGACACATCTGCTCAGGTATGAGTTGACAGATAATTGTCACTTCTGACAATTTCTTGCTTTTGTTCACTAATTTATAGGCTATATGGTGGTCCCATGTAGAGTCTATATTTAATTTGTATTGGTCATCATAAAAGTTTGTATACAGTAGGCAATTACTAAGAGCTCATTGATAGAAAATTACAGTTAGAAATATTACCACTTCACTTCCATTATTATAAAAATGTATTGTTTTTAATTAGTTAAGAAAACAGATTCAACAATTTTTTCTTAAAGATTTATTTATTTATTTATACAAGCACTGGGTACAGTCAGAAGCATGGGAGGGTGAGAGAATTCACCAGAGCCAGAGTGGGGAACAGAACAGGCAGACTAATGAAATACACTGCTGAGGGGAGCAGCGGGCTTGGCAGGAGAGGTCTGTCGCGCCATGTGAGACCCTTGCAGGAGGCCCGGCATCTAACCAGTGCTGCAAAGGCTGCGGGCAGCTTCAGAGCCCAGTGCTCAACTACTGCACCACCAGAGGAGCCCCAACAAAATATTTTTTACATGTATATATACTTTGGTCTATATTAATTAACTTTGCATAGTATATTTCAGATGATTAATGTAACTGAATAAATAAAAATCTTTAAAACAAAAGTCAGTCTATCCTTCATTTTTTCCTCCTTCAGATACCATTATACCAACATTAATAATATATAATACGCAATATAGAATTGTTACATACAATTTCTGTAATAGCTATATATTATTCTGTATATGTATCAATGAAGTTCTTGTTTTCCTTTACTTTATTACTTTACTTTTTTCACCTTATTTCATTGCCTATATGAAACTACAGTAAAATTTCTGTACCTATAAAAACAGACATTTATTTGGGGAAAAATGAAATCCCTGAGTGTGTTAGTGAACTTTATCTTAGAGAGTTACTGATTTAATTGATGTAATCTGACCTTGCCATTAGTCTAGCTGGAGGCAAGCTATTTCTGTCTGCATTACTTTCCATTATTGCTTCCTTGTAGGAATTCGGTACCTGCTGCTCCATATAAATGTGTGACAAAGCTAAAGAACATAGTCCAGAAAGTCATTCAATTTTCATCTGCTATTTTCCCATCAGTATTAACACACAATTGTATTCTTCCTAACCTTCATAGTTCAAAGACTTCTATCTCAACTGAAATTTGGAAAACTTACATTCAGTTTCTGTTATGATACATGGGACAAAATTTATATTCTTTATTTATTTATCTAATGTCCAAGTATCGTCATTCATGATATAAATCACTTGAATTCTCGAGCAGCTTCTTTTGCAGTGTGTCTAAGCTTATTATTAATTTACTGTGTTCTTCCTAGGTACAGAGTGAAGGAGATGATCAAGTCATATATCACATAAACAATTAAAAACTATCCTTTGGCTGTAAGCTTTTTGAAATGATGAAGTGCTAGTTCAGAGTGAGCTGTCCTTGAATTACTTTCATTGGTAAGTATTAGACAGTATGATAAATTTTTTACAAGCCAGACATTCGGAATGGTATCTTCAAAGCTATGTCAGCTGCCTATTTATCTTTATTATAGGCAAGAAACTGATAGCAAAAATACAATGTTAGTACATGTATTACATTAAGAAACTATGGGGGATAATTTTTTTCTTAAAGATGAAGGTAGTAGTAGTTGGGTTCTTGAAACAATGCACTGTTTTCTCCCCCTATGTCTACCCAGTTGAAAAGTAGTATCAATATAAATATGTTAGTGTTTAGAATCAAATTATAATATTTTATGCTTAAAATTGAATCCTTATAGGACTAAATGCAATTTTACAATCTTCATTATACAGAATAGGTAACTTCAAAATATTCTAGAATATAGACATGTTTAATAATTTATATAAAAATGATACATTGATGTACTTATATGAACTGAACTAATTCTTAGAGTAATGATATAGCCTATGTCTGGTATCACATAAAAAGAGTTTTCTCTAATTTTTTATTGCTAAATAATTTAAATTGAGAATATACATACAATAATATAATTGAATTTTATTGCCTTTTGAAAAAATATATTTTAAATCAAAACCAACAAATTCTTTACAAATCCTGAGAGTGACCATAAGTCTATAGTAAAATCAAGAGATTTTCGGGCAGGAAGGATGAAGACTCAGCTCAAACACACATTGAGTAGATTATGAAAACTGTCCAGCATAAAACATTTTCTCTTTTTTTAAAGATTGCTCAGTACTATAGTATTGAGAAGCTGCTATTCATTTATCTAGAATCTCAAAGTAGGTGTTGGAACTGAGTTTAAAGTTTGCACTTTCAATTCCAATTTTAATTTCTGTTTTTTTAATGTTGGGTGATTTTTAATACTCATTATTACAAACAGACCAATAAAACAGAGGATAAGTAAGGAAACAATAGCCTTACATGAAACACTAGACCAAATAGCCTTAATATATCTACAGAATACTGCCCCACCCCCAAGAAAAAAAATATATACTTTTTTTTGCAAGACCATTTTCAAGAAAAGACCATATGTTCGGACAGAGGTCAATTAATAAAGCCACACAGATCCAATATTTAATTTCTTCCAGGAAATCACTCTTCCTTCCAGAGAACACATGACTCTAGGTTATAAACTTTGATGGTCTCATCATTGATACTTAGATTTATTGACGTCAAAAATTAAATTTTAACAAAATATAATATGCATTTGCTCAGAAAATTTAAAAATATTACTATTATTTATGACAATATTTTTATTTGTATAAATAAGGGAAAGTTAGCTACAAATAGACAGATACACACACACACACACACACACACAAAACATGGAAAATTCACTGATAAATTATTCTCCACTCTAATAAGATCCACTTTTTACAAAAATATATCTGCATAAAAATAACTTAGAATCAGTCTACCAAATTTAAAGTCATCTGTGTTCATTGTGTGCAAAATAAAATTAAGAATTTGAACTGTGGATGAAATAAACTAAGATTCATGACTTTCCATAAATGAGTCTACATAGTAAGATTATTTGATATTTAAGGGACACTAAAGATCAGGTGACCATGATTGTTAGACTAAATTTTAGATTTGTACTTTATATAAATTAAATTATTATTGTTTCAATTTGTTCAACTGCCTTAAAAAATAATGTTACAAGATTTACTTAGCATATGTTATTTCAAGCAACAAGCAAGTTTAATTTTAGTAAGGCTAATCTATAGTGGCATAGTTCTTTACCTACTATGTTCAAATCACCACCTTAGATTCATTTGTCTTAAATTTTCAAAGCTCATTAACTCCCACTCCTCTGTACCTTGTTTCCTTATATTTGTAGAACTTGTATTACTATTTCTAAAGTCATCTCCCTCATTTTCAACTTGAAGGACTTCACATAATCACTTAACTTCTTTAAAAATGCATAAATCAAATTGTTATCTTTAGGATTTGATGCATTTGGTGAAAGTCATCTATAAAGTAAGCTCTATATAAAATGTTTTATTAAACTATTAGATTAATCAATGTTAAAATTGATGCTAAATAAAGCATATTAAAAGTTCCATGTATGATGACATTCTTAAAATAACACTAGTATCCATTTAATCAAATTTTAATAATTTAAATATATTTGATTTATATTAACCATATTTCAAAAAATTAACTAGTCATAAGAGAGACCAATTTAGGCAATGAGAAATTGAGCTCACAGAAAAATTATTCTAATTCTTAGGTGAAATTAAAGTCTCAATATTTGATTTAAATACTTGTTTAAAATGTAAGTCAGGATTTCTTTTTTTTAAGATTTGTTTTTTTAAGCATACAAGAACTGGGATACAGGCTAGAGATGTGGGGGGTGAGAGGATTTACTAGAGAAAGAGTGGGGAATAGAACAGGCAGATTGACCGAAGTACAATGCTGAGGGGAGCAGTAGGTGAGTCAGGAGAGGTCTGCTGAGCCATGTGGGTTGCTCTCTGGTGGGCCAGGGATCGAACTCATGCTGCAGTGGTTGCAGATTGCTTCATAGTGCTTAACCCCTTGCGCCACGAGGGAGGCCCAATTTTTTTTTTTTTTTTTTTTTTTTTTTTTTTAGGATTTCTTGATTAGAGTTAAAGAAACAGGAAATTCTGTTTACTTTTAAGAGGGAGCTGTGAAGCCATGTGCCTAGTTTAAGAAAAAACATTTTTCATTTCTCAAATGGAGAATAGACTCAGTTATCTTAACTTAATGCAACACTTTGCCCCTATTTTGAAAAGGATAGAATTTGTAACAAGAAATAAAATTCATATAACTTTCAGAGTTTATGACCCTATATACTTGTAAGTATTGTTGGCTAATGTAAAAACAAAGATTTCTAGTCAAACTCCATCATTATAGTATTTTGGCATATCTTCAGGAATATTTACATGGATGATATCAAAAATGACTAGCTTAAACTTTGATAGCAGAGCTGATCACTCTCCCAAAAGACACAAACTGGAAGAGCTGTGGGAAATATGTTGAGCTTCAATTGTAGATGTGGTTATACAATAATGGGTGTTAATCAAAAAAGTCATGACTTTCTTAAAGACGGGGATACATTCTGAGAAATGTCTTTAGGTAATTTTATTGTGTGAACATCACAAAATGTCCATCACAATCTTAGATATCACATACTGCCCATTACACACCTAAAGCACAGTAGGGACCACCATCATGTATGTAGTCCGTTGATCGCCAAACAAGATGAGTCACTTGACTGTACATAAAAGTTACATTCCCAAAGGGCAAATATTTACAACTTGTAAATTAAGCAAATTATCACTCAATAAACCTGATATTTATTTTTAAAAGGCCAACCTTATATCATGACTTTTAATGTTTTCTAACATATGGTGAATATGTCATTAGTTTCTTCTCCTGACTAAATCACATTTAACTTTCTTTGAAAATTGGTTTTTATATAATTTAATATACATTAAATTGTATATATGTTTTAAAACAAAGATTTAAAATTCAATTATTTTAAATAGACTAAGAAAATTTAGGCTTGGTTATGGGAGAGTTTTGGAGAAGGTCTGGATTCAGCTGAGACTGGCTCAAATACAAATCATTTTGTATTGGGCTTAATTGGAATACCTACATCGGTCTTCTCCTGAACCTAAAGAAAATGAAATTTCTGAGTGAGCAAGAATTATGCTTATAGAGAAAGTAGGGTTCAGATCTCTGTCTTGTGTGTAGAATAATCCCAAACATGTGTAATCAAACAAGCAGTGCATTGTCAAGTTCTGAGTTGAATACTATTTTCTTGAGTAGACAAGGTACTTTTACCCTCATAAAGCCATGATACCAGTCAAAAAATTTCTACTCAATCTAGTAAACTTCTGTTGCCCACCCAGTGATCTGTCACTTTACTTCCAATCCTGACACATCAAAATTTTACAAACTCTTTTCAATACTTTCTGAAATATTTTCAGAAATAATCTACTGTGTCAATTGTTAAAACCTTATCACATAGAACTATAATGACTATATTAATTGAAAACATATAATTAAATAGGTTTTATAGTAATCATTACTTTGTATCCTGACTTTAGATATGTCCAACATTATCCTCAGGATAAGTCTGCAATGAAATCTAAAAGAGCTTCATTATATGTTTTGTTTCTGATTTTCTTCTATAAAGATTATGTGTGTGTGTATATATATATATATATATTATATATTATATGTGAAACATTTTGGAAATCCAAAATTAGTATTAGCATTCTTAAATAGTCTATGCAACTATATATATGTGTATATATATAATTAAAAGAAGCAGATATTTAATGTACATTTCTGCTGATTATCTTTAAAACATTTTCCTGATATCAGTCTCTCTCTCTCTTTCTCTCTTTCACTCCACTTACAAGCAGAATTCGGTCAACTTGAAATATAGTGGCAAATATAAAATATTGAGAATTTATTTCAATTGTCATAAAAAGAGACTGATATCACCAGATATATACAAATGTATATCTTTAGCAGTTGCAAGGGGAGGATTAAGATCTTATAATAATGAGAATTCTTATCTAGATACTAAATTAAGAAGTAGCTCTCAAGTTATTAAACACATACCACCACAGTTATTGATTGGTAATGAACCACAGCTTTGTAAATCAGTAAACAAATTCTTACCAAGCTGGCAATGACACATTACCCAGTGAAATGATTAATTTCTTCCAGAGTTCAAATCCTATACACTTATCTACCTTACTTATATTTAAAGCTCACTTGAGTTAGAAGCAATAGGGATATCTACATCTGAAACAGATTACTTAAACTGGTGTCTAATTCCATTTACCAGTTATCATCAGTCTTGTTTCCCCATAAATCAGTCAGGGGGGAAGCAGAGGCACCATAGATCTGGGCAATTTATTATATTATTCCAGAAGAATAAGCACTTGTTTCTCTTTGCCCCAAATTTTAAAACTACAACAGACTTA